TCTAATTGGAATTCTTACTAGTAATAATTGGATTAGAGAGCTCTCTAATTGGAATTCTTACTAGTAATAATTGGATTAGAGAGCTCTTTAATTGCATTCTTACTAGTAACAATTGAAATAGAGAGCTCTCTAATTGAATTAAAGAGCTCTGCAATTGAGTTGTTACTAGTAAGAATTGAATTAGAGAGCTCTATAATTGAATTGTTACTAGTAAGAATGCAATTAGAGAGCTCTATAATTAAATTACAGAGCTCTTTAATTGTAATTGTTACTAGTAACAATTCAATTAGAGAGCTCTACAATCAAATTGTTACTAGTAAGAATTGAATTAGAGAGCTCTCTAATTGTAATTGTTACTAGTCATAATTGGATTAGAGAGCTCTCTAATGGAATTGTTACTAGTAACAATTGAATTAGAGAGCTCTCTAATGGTAATTCTTACTAGTAACAATTCAATTGTAGAGCTCTCTAATTGTAATTCTTACTAGTAACAATTCAATTAAAGAGCTCTGTAATTAAAAATGAATGGAAGTCAATGGAGACATATGACTAGTAAGAATTCATTTGTAGAGCTCTCTAATTGGAATTGTTACTAGTAAGAATTAAATTAGAGAGCTCTGCAATTGTAATTGTTACTAGTAATAACTCAATTAGAGAGCTCTCTAATTGTATTTTCACTAGTAAGAATTGAATTAGAGAGCTCTCTAATTGTAATTGCTACTAGTAAGAATTGAATTGTAGAGCTCTCTAATTGAATTAAAGAGCTCTGCAATTGCATTCTTACTAGTAAGAACTGAATTAGAGAGCTCTCTAAATCAGTTTTTACTAGTAATAATTGCATTAAAGAGCTCTCCTAATGTAATTCTTACTAGTAAAAACTGATTTAGAGAGCTCTCTAATTTAATTCTTACTAGTAAGAATGCAATTGCAGAGCTCTTTAATTGAATTAAAGAGCTCTGCAATTACATTCTTACTAGTAAGAATCGAATTAGAGAGCTCTCTAATCGCAATTGTTACTAGTAAGAATTGAATTAGAGAGCTCTCTAATTGTAATTGCTACTAGTACGAATTGAATTGTAAAGTTCTCTAATTAAATTTTTACTAGTAAAAATGAAATTACAACAAGTAAGGCTGGGTACAATTTAAGCTAAAACGGCTTGCCATAATTGCAGAGCTCTTTAATTCAATTAGAGAGCTCTCTATTTCAATTGTTACTAGTAAGAATGCAATTGTAGAGCTCTCTAATTGAATTATTACTAGTAAGAATTCCAATTAGAGAGCTCTCTAATCCAATTATTACTAGTAACAATTATAATTAGAGAGCTCTCTAATTCAGTTGTTACTAGTAAGAATGCAATTGCAGAGCTCTCTAATTCAATTACAGAGCTCTCCAATTATACATATCTTTAATTCGTTTTTTACTAGTAAAAATTCAATTAGAGAGCTCTGTAATTGCATTCTTACTAGTAAGAATTGAATTAGAGAGCTCTCTAATTGTAATTGTTACTAGTAATAATTGGATTAGAGAGCTCTCTAATTGTAATTCTTACTAGTAATAATTGAATTAGAGAGCTCTGCAATTGCATTCTTACTAGTAAGAATTGAATTAGAGAGCTCTCTAATTGTAATTGTTACTAGTAAGAATTGAATTAGAGAGCTCTCTAATTGTAATTGTTACTAGTAAGAATTGGATTAGAGAGCACTCTAATTGTAATTCTTACTAGTAATAATTGAATTAGAGAGCTCTCTAATTGTAATTCTTACTAGTAACAATTCAATTATAGAGCTCTCTAATTAAAAATGAATGGAAGTCAATGGAGACATATGACTAGTAAGAATTCATTTGTAGAGCTCTCTAATTGCAATTGTTACTAGTAAGAATTGAATTAGAGAGCTCTGTAATTGTAATTCTTACTAGTAATAATTGAATTAGAGAGCTCTCTAATAATAATTGTTACTAGTAAGAATTGAATTAGAGAGCTCTCTAATTGTAATTGTTACTAGTAAGAATTGAATTAGAGAGCTCTCTAATTGTAATTGTTACTAGTAATAATTGAATTAGAGAGCTCTCTAATTGTAATTGTTACTAGTAATAATCGAATTAGAGAGCTCTCTAATTGTAATTGTTACTAGTAAGAATTGAATTGTAGAGCTCTCTAATTGAATTATTACTAGTAAAAATGTAATTACGACGAGTAAGGCTGGGTACAATTAAAGCTAAAACGGCTTGCCATACTGCAATTGAGTTGTTACTAGTAAGAATTGAATTAGAGAGCTCTCTAATTGTAATTCTTACTAGTAACAATTGCATTAGAGAGCTCTCTAATTGAATTGTTACTAGTAAGAATGCAATTAGAGAGCTCTATAATTCAATTACAGAGCTCTTTAATTGTAATTGTTACTAGTAACAATTCAATTAGAGAGCTCTACAATTAAATTGTTACTAGTAAGAATTGAATTAGAGAGCTCTCTAATTGTAATTGTTACTAGTCATAATTGGATTAGAGAGCTCTCTAATGGAATTGTTACTAGTAACAATTGAATTAGAGAGCTCTCTAATGGTAATTCTTACTAGTAACAATTCAATTGTAGAGCTCTCTAATTGTAATTCTTACTAGTAACAATTCAATTAAAGAGCTCTGTAATTAAAAATGAATGGAAGTCAATGGAGACATATGACTAGTAAGAATTCATTTGTAGAGCTCTCTAATTGGAATTGTTACTAGTAAGAATTGAATTAGAGAGCTCTGCAATTGTAATTGTTACTAGTAATAACTGAATTAGAGAGCTCTCTAATTGTATTTTCACTAGTAAGAATTGAATTAGAGAGCTCTCTAATTGTAATTGCTACTAGTAAGAATTGAATTGTAGAGCTCTCTAATTGAATTCCTACTAGTAAGAATTGCATTAAAGTCCCACTCCGATCATATTTTGAGCTATTTTTAAACATTCCCAGTGGTCTTTAAATTATGATTATGCCATTTTTAGCCAAAATCACAAAACCTGTGCCGTTTTCTGGGACTTCGCTTCAGCAGAGCGGCAGTAGCTCATTAGCAATTCGCCTCTGCGTTGTGGGCGGAGCCGTTGGCACGGAGACGACCCTCCCCCTGCCCGTTGCTGAGAGCTCTGTCTCTCCCGCTAGCTTACATCCCAAATACCGGTGGGGCAACAGTATTATATACACGTTAATTATTATTATCCAAAGTTATCACCGATCACCGATCATTATTTCACTCCAAGACGTCGCGTGTGGAGACGCCCAGTGGAGTTACTACGTCACAACTCCAGTCGATTTTAGCCAGCATTTTAGCGTCTGCTACTGATTCACAGCCATTTGAATGTAGAAATACTCAGAAATACAACTTTGAGCTGATTTTTCTCAAGATATGTCCTCTAACATCAGAAAAATGCCACAAGAACATGTTAACACCTAGAAAAACATTATTTTCATCGGAGTGGGTCTTTAAAGAGCTCTCTAATTGAATTAAAGAGCTCTGCAATTGCATTCTTACTAGTAAGAACTGAATTAGAGAGCTCTCTAAATCAGTTTTTACTAGTAATAATTGCATTAAAGAGCTCTCCTAATGTAATTCTTACTAGTAAAAACTGATTTAGAGAGCTCTCTAATTTAATTCTTACTAGTAAGAATGCAATTGCAGAGCTCTTTAATTCAATTAAAGAGCTCTGCAATTACATTCTTACTAGTAAGAATCGAATTAGAGAGCTCTCTAATTGTAATTGCTACTAGTACGAATTGAATTGTAAAGTTCTCTAATTAAATTCTTACTAGTAAAAATGAAATTACAACAAGTAAGGCTGGGTACAATTTAAGCTAAAACGGCTTGCCATACAGGCTGTCATTAACGGAGCACGCAAAAAACAAGCTAAACCAATGGAAGTATTTCTTGTCTCTTAACAATTCAAATATACAGTATTTGATTGTAAGCAAGCAGTTTTGGTGTAGTGTCTTTATAAAGGTATATATTTCCTCAAAACACACCTGATATACAGTAGGCCTATACACTGTAAAAAAAATGATATGCTCAATAAGTTATGACAACATATGTTTTTACATTTCTTTAACTCATCAAAATAAGTTAAGCAATTTTCAACTTTTTATGTTATACTCGTTTTTTAAAGTCAGTTTAATGTCATTTAAGTAATGACTTAAACATCCAAGTTGATCGTACTTAAAAATGTAAGGCAGCAACATTTTACAGTGTAGAAACATCTTATAGCAAAATATTTAATATATATATAGTATTTCCATTCTGTATATCTCCCATTTTACATCAATTTTAACTTACTCAATGTTACTCATGCATGTGTTTTTTGGCACAGTTGCTATGAAATTGAGCCTCATCACAGCATTTCACTGCCCACTGAACCCTGCGTAAACTGTGTAATTGACAAACTTAATCTTGGCAACATTATACACAAAATGTTGTGAAATAGAACAGTATTGTTTTATATTGCACACTATAAAATCACTAAGTGGTGTGTGCAACAAATTCAGAACAAAAAGCACATTTTAGAAAGCTTGTACTGTCCACAACAAAACATTAGCTAGGCCATGTGTGCACTTAATTTTATGAAAGAAAAAATAGCCAGACATCAAATATATGTCTCTGCAAAAGTCACCAAAGGCTAAAAAAATAAATAAAAATCGTTAGTTCATGATGTAGCAATGTTTTTGAGCTTCACCTTCAACCATGTATGCAGAAGAAGTCGTGCGTTACTTTATACCATAGCTTTGTAGAGAGAGGAGAGAGAGAGAGAGAGAGAGAGAGAGAGAGAGAGAGAGAGAGAGAGAGAGAGAGAGAGAGAGAGAGAGAGAGAGAGAGAGAGAGAGAGAGAGAGAGAGAGAGAGAGAGAGAGAGAGAGAGAGAGAGAGAGAGAGAGAGAGAGAGAGAGAGAGAGAGAGAGAGAGAGAGAGAGAGAGAGAGAGAGAGAGAGAGAGAGAGAGAGAGAGAGAGAGAGATTCCTCCGCGTTGTACAGGTTATGAATATTTAGTGCTAGAACTTGAATTGAGCGGAAGAAAGGAAGACATCACGGCTACTTTTGTTTTCGCGTTTTTGTTTTCTTCTCACACGAGTGACGAGTTAACTAGACTTTCTCAAGCGACTGGCACATTATCCGAAGAAACAGGCGTTTTATATCTGTATTCTGCAGAAAAACAATGGCTTTTATGTTTAAACACATGATAGGGGGGCAGCTAAAGGATCTTACCGGGGGTCTTGGAGAAGAAAAGCCAGAAGGAGAAAAGACCGAGGCTGCAGCAAAAGGAATGACACACGAAGAGTTTGAACAATATCAAGAACAGTTGGCGGAGGAGAAGTAAGACTCTGCATTTACTATGGTCATCATGACCAAATAATGTGATTTTAAATGTTTGATATTTTTTAACATTATCAATAAAATGTATTTTATTTGATCTTTATAATATATTCATAATTTTCCCCTCCATTTTTAGTTAGTTTGGTAATAGCAAATGAATATGATGTTATTTAAAAATATATATATATTTTTTTTAATAATTTTATAAATATTTTATAAATAATTGGTTTTAATTTTATTTTCAGATACATTTTCAGACATTTATTTTATTATATATATATATATATATATATATATATTCCACTTTACAAAAAAAGGAGGCTCCTCCCAGACACAGATGAATGTTATTAAATGAGAACCTGGTTGAATCCCACAATAACAATTATTTTTAAACATATAATTATATATATATATATATATATATATATATATATATATATATATATATATATATATATATATATATATATATATATATATATATATATATATATATTACGAGGACCCTTTCCCTCCTGTTTGAATTTAATACACAAGCTGCACAGTCACTTGTTCAAATGTAATACAAGGAGATGCCAAGAAGGTCAATGTTTATCTCCAGCTTCCTGTATTTCTGTGGTTTAATCAATAGTGCATGTCACCTTGCTCTCCAGATCCGTGTTTCTCTAGTTTGGCCTTGAGGACAGTGACTCCTCTGCAGAAATGCACATGCAGCTGTTTTTTGTCTATTGTGTGCATTTTTGAATGGCATCGTATTACATTGTCCTAGACATAAAAAAGTTCAAATGCACACTGAACACAATTTCATATTGATAATATTATGATGATTGAATATTGATATCAATTATACATTTCAGGGAATCATGTTTAAGCTAAATATCTTTTTATTAAAAAAAAAAAAAGTTTTACGTTTCAAACTAGCTTCTATTTTTCATCTAGGTTGGAGCGGGATACCAGCTTTGCCCAGAAGAAGGCTGAACGGGCCACAGTCAGGAGCCACTTCAGGGAAAAATATCGTCTTCCAAAAGTAAACATCGCTTTAATAAAATGCACTGTATGAACCATTGTTATTTCATTATTAACTTGTACTTTTTATTTACAGAGTGAACTGGACGACACACAAATTCAGGCTGCGGCAGACGACGTGGAGTTGCCCACAGAACTGGCCAAGATGATCGCTGAAGACAACCAGGAGGAGGAGAACAAGCAGTCTGTCCTGGGTCAGCTGACCAACATTCAGAACGTAGATATTGATCAGTTAAAAGAGAAGGCCCAGTCCACCCTCGAAGACATTAGACAGTCGGCTGAAAAGTGTGATGTCATGTAATCCAGCCAGGCACACGAGCACCCCAGAGTTGGACTGCTAATTGAGGATCATGTGTTTCGTCGGCTCCGATGACTTCAGGGAGAATATAGGGAATAAATCAGAAACATAAACAGCATGCCTAATGAGATGCTTTGTGAAAGACAAGCTCCTACCCGAAGCCAAGCAATCATATATAAATTTGAAATGTTTGTTAATATCGCAAATAATGTTTGCCACACTGTATACATTGTCTTAAGGCAATAATTATCAGTTAACATCTTTCTACTTGTTGTTCTTTAGTGCTTAAAATGTTATATTTATTTATATGTGATTGACTATTCTACATCTACTTTAAATTAGCCAGAAAATGTTACAAAATACAGTATTCCTGTCATATTAATAATAAGTAGAAAATACGCAATTGCTTAAATTATACTATTAAACTACAGTATTTATGTATTTGAACCTTTTTATGTACTCAGTATATTGATGTATTTACGTGAAGTGTGTAGGTAAAACATGAATTGTTATTTTTTAGGTGAAAGAGAACCTAAATATAGACTTGTAAACAGTATTTTTTTACATTTCTTTTTGTATACATTTTATTTATTTGATGTCAGTCAGGGTTGACTTACATTTGTTGACTATAATAAATGTTAACTGAAATAAAATATTAAAAACAATTAAACTTATTTTATTTCAGCTTCCTTGTTGCTCATTTACTACATTTACTATTATTCTAAAATAAATTAAAGTACTAAAATAAATAAAACTGAAATAAAAACTAAGTAACGTTAGACAGTTTAATTTGAATCAATAAGGGAACCACTGTAAAAAGTCGATGTTTTCTTAGACTCATTTGTGTAACGCAACTGAGCTGGTGCACCAGGAAAAACATTCCCTCTCCATGTGTCATTCAATCGATGTTTGAAATTCACACACGTGACGGAAACGTCGATGGACACCGAAGCGGATCTCTTTTATCGTCAGCTGCCCAAAGTGGTAGGAAACACAAAAATAGATCCGTTAATAAAACAGAGATGATCTTTTAATGAGCTCATCCCAATTATTTATTTATATACATTAATAAAAATAGATAATGAAGTCAAATACAGTGTTTATTTTTCATTCAGGAGCTGCACGCGCATCTCAACGGATCAGTCAGTTTTGAGATTATGGAGACGCTGATTCAGCGCAAGCCGCATCTGAACATTGAGCACAACATGACCGCCATCCGCCGCGGACAGCGCCGAACACTGGACGAGTCCGTATCAAACACCTGCACACTTCAAATGAACAGACTCGGGTTTATAATGTTTTGACAATTACAAACATGTAACGTTAGTGCTGAAAATAAATTTGAAATACGTTTGAAATAGCACACTCTCACTCTGAGTAGGTACTTTTGAAAAACCAAAAACACCTAACGTTACTTCTCGACCGTCAAAGACGTTCGTTCTATGTAGTATTAATGTGTGTAGAATGAATTTAATCCATACTTACTACATCCGTCAAGTTGTCAACGTCATTTATTTAGTTTTTAGTTCTGTAATTACAGTCAAATACAGTACAAGAACGTACAATACAGAGAATGTGAGATAAAGAACAAAACAACAACAATAATACAGAATAAACAACAGCTATGAAAAGCTTACAAACAAAAATGTAACATTAGGCTGAGACATGAATTAGACTTTCGGTATTTGTATTGTTTTCATAAGTAAGTTTCTTATTCTGGGTTCTCATGTTCCAAAAGGTCCTTAAAATGTTATGTAAGTTTTTTTTGTTTGGTTAATTAGTTATTCTTGACTTGGGAATGTAACATTTTTGCTAAAATAATTAAAGTATTAATGAGGTGATTTTGTTTTCAGTAAAATAGTAAGGTTTTAAGGTTCTACATTTAAAGCTTTTTTCCCCCTGCCATGTCCAATTTTAAAGTTGATATCATGGACTGATATCCACATACAATATATATATATATATATATATACACACACACACACACCCACACACAGTGCTGCAGTGCATTTACAGGATAATATTGATTAATAATTCTGTATTTTATTTATTTATTTTAGAAATAAAATATTTATAAGGTAATGTCCAGATGCTGTGCTATGATATGGTAAGGTTTAAGCCATTTTGATTTACGTGGAGGATTATTTATCAAAGAAGGAGTGACCATTAAAAGTCGGGCATTTGTGACCTTCAGTTGTATCGCTTCACTGCCATTCACAACTCCTCCCTGACGTCTCATGGGATAGTAAATTGACCATTTGCCAGAAGTAGTTTATTTGGGTAATTTTTTGACTACCATTTTATGAATACTGTGAAAAGTACATAGGCCTACTTCTTGAATCACTGTTTTTTCCTAACTAAAAAAGAGTAGGAATGTATACATATTTGGATGAAGACATTGCTTGTTTGCCAACTAGATTAGTACACACTATCCCCGGTTTAGTCCCAGACTAAAATGCATGTTTGAGCTGTTTTAACTGAAAGAAACTTGTACTGATACCTTTAATATGCCAGTGCCATTGTTTTGTCTCAAGTTGCACACCAGTGATGTTTTTTTCTAAGGCACATTTATAAAAGCTACGTAAATGTTCTAATTGAACTAAGGCGTAATCATGGCTTAATCTAAGCCTTGTCTGTGAAACCGGGGCATAGTGTACTAGTCTAAATCCTGATGTTACGAGTGAGCTTTTAAATTAGTGTATCTCTCCATCAGGTGTTTTCAAGTGTTTAAAGTGATTCATCAACTGGTTGATTCAGAAGAGGACATCCTAATGGTAAAGCAACATTTGCTCAAAGTTTTATTCTTTTACATGTATAAGAATAAATTAAAAAAAAAGGAATTATTCTTATTAAATAGGTTGCTAAAGCAGTCATTCAAGAGTTTGCGGCAGATGGCGTAAAATACTTGGAGTTGCGTAGCACGCCACGGGAAGTGACTGAAACGGGTACTGGAAGCAATTCATATGTCAAACAATTATTAGCAGCTCATTTCTGCTTATTGTTGACATTTATTTTTGTCACAAAAAGGTCTCACTAAACAAAGATACATTGAAACTGTGCTGGAAGCCATCCGGCAGTGTAAACAAGAGGAAGTTGACATTGATGTCAGGTAATGTTTAAATATTAATTCTGTATTTTCTAGATGTTTTCGTGGTCACCTACTGCACGCTTGAATTTTTGAACAGGTTTCTCGTGGCTGTGGACCGCAGACACGGGCCTGAGGTTGCAATGGAGACCGTGAAGCTGGCAGAAGACTTCCTGCTCTCCAGTGATGGAATAGTAGTCGGACTTGACCTCAGTGGAGATCCAACCGTGAGTTCAGATTGCAATAGCATCATACTCCACTTGTTTCTGGGCTGCAGTCTCCATATCTTTGATCATACAGGTCGGTCATGGAAAAGACTTGCTCTCTGCACTTCAGAAAGCCAAGAACTGCGGTCTGAAGTTGGCTCTACACCTCTCAGAGGTCAGAGCACATGGAAACATCTCCATATCGTAAGTTTGTTTTGGTATGAATGCTTTTACGTGGTTTACGCCAGAGTTTGTGTGTATTTCAGGTTCCTGGTCAGAGAGATGAGTCCGAGCTGTTGTTGAACTTGCCTCCTGATAGAATCGGCCACGGAACCTTCCTACATCCTGAGGTCGGTGGATCGGACAGTCTTGTGGAGAAAGTTTGCAAACAAAATATTCCTATTGGTACGAGTTTTCCATCTTAATTCCAAAATTGCATACTTGAACTTTAAAGAATTATTTTTAAAACTGTTTTACTATTTTATTTTTGTTATTAACTATTTTAGGTTTTTTATATAGTGTTCTATTGTTTTTCCGAAATTGCATACTTAAACTTTAAAGAATTATTTTTAAAACTTTTTTTTTTTTGGGACAAGTTTTCCATCGTAATTCCAAAACGAAATACTTTAAAGAAACTTTAAAGAATATTTTTAAATAGTTTAATATCTTTATTTCTGAACTTCAGATAACACTATTTTATGTTATTAACTATGTTATTAAGTGTATTTTAAGTGTATTATTGTAAATCGAACACTAATATTATAAATCTATTATAAACTTTAAATAAATATTTTTTAAACTTTTATTGTACTATTTTTGATTTAATTTGATTTTCCGTCATAATTCCACAATTACTTGCTTTATATATATATATATATATATATATATATATATATACTATACTTGCTAGATTATATATACACTCACCGGCCACTTTATTAGGTACCCCATGCTAGTAACGGGTTGGACCCCCTTTTGCCTTCAGAACTGCCTCAATTCTTCGTGGCATAGATTCAACAAGGTGCTGGAAGCATTCCTCAGGGAGTTTGGTCCATATTGACATGATGGCATCACACAGTTGCCGCAGATTTGTCGGCTGCACATCCATGATGCGAATCTCCCGTTCCACCACATCCCAAAGATGCTCTATTGGGTTGAGATCTGGTGACTGTGGAGGCCATTTTAGTACAGTGAACTCATTGTCATGTTCAAGAAACCAATTTGAAATGATTAGAGCTTTGTGACATGGTGGAAGTAGCCATCAGAGGATGGGTACATGGTGGCCATAAAGGGATGGACATGGTCAGAAACAATGCTCAGGTAGGCCGTGGCATTTAAACGATGCCCAATTGGCACTAAGGGGCCTAAAGTGTGCCAGGAAAACATCCCCCACACCATTACACCACCACCACCAGCCTGCACAGTGGTAACAAGGCATGATGGTTCCATGTTCTCATTCTGTTTACGCCAAATTCTGACTCTAACATCTGAATGTCTCAACAGAAATCGAGACTCATCAGACCAGGCAACATTTTTCCAGTCTTCAACTGTTCAATTTTGGTGAGCTCTTGCAAATTGTAGCCTCTTTTTCCTATTTGTAGTGGAGATGAGTGGTACCCGGTGGAGTCTTCTGCTGTTGTAGCCCATCCGCCTCAAGGTTGTGCGTGTTGTGGCTTCACAAATGCTTTGCTGCATACCTCGGTTGTAACGAGTGGTTATTTCAGTCACTGTTGCCCTTCTATCAGCTCGAACCAGTCTGGCCATTCTCCTCTGACCTCTGGCATCAACAAGGCATTTCCGCCCACAGAACTGCCGCTCACTGGATGTTTTTTCTTTTTCGGACCATTCTCTGTAAACCCTAGAGATGGTTGTGCGTGAAAATCCCAGTAGATTAGCAGTTTCTGAAATACTCAGACCAGCCCTTCTGGCACCAACAATCATGCCACGTTCAAAGTCACTCAAATCACCTTTCTTCCCCATACTGATGCTTGGTTTGAACTGCAGGAGATTGTCTTGACCATGTCTACATGCCTAAATGCACTGAGTTGCCGCCATGTGATTGGCTGCTTAGAAATTAAGTGTTAACGAGCAGTTGGACAGGTG